GGGACACCTGGACAGATTTCCAGTCCATCGCAGGGACACCTGGACAGGTCTCCAGTCCATCGCAGGGACACCTGGACATGTCTCCAGTCCATCGCAGGGACACCTGGACAGGTCTCCAGTCCATCGCAGGAACACCTGGACATGTCTCCAGTCCATCGCAGGGACAACTGGACATGTCTCCAGTCTATTGCAGGGACAACTGGACAGGTCTTCAGACATCTTAACGCTCGTTTGTAAATCTGATGAGCACCTGAGTGATGAACTGGTAACGATGTGCATTTTATCCTCGTTGTTGCATAAAACCAGTCCCTCCAAGTTCCTGAGCCGCGGTCACTTCAGTTCCCAGCCGTGTCATTGCAGCCTTCACAAGGTGAAGTCAAGAGTGGTACTACAGACTAATTAATTCCACGGTCATGTTCTACAATAACAACGTAGAACTGTAATGAAAGATTTAACCACGTGTGTGACTCCAGACAGCTCACAGGCCTGAAGATCCATCAGAAGTTTCCTCTTTACTTTGAGGTCTTTCACTGAAGTTCAGACTTTGATCGTCTGTTTCTCTTCCCTGTCGTCTCTTTGGTTTTAGTCAGTCTGATTTTTATTTTTTTTTCCCACTGGTGATGATTTTGCCTGTATGTGTGTGTTAGTAAAACTTCTCTGGGTCTTTGATGTTTTGAATCACTTTGGTTATGGCTGCCTCAGACGAGTCGGGGGAGAGGGCGGACTCCAGAAACCAGCTTATCACCGTCAAACTGGTTGATCCACTATGAGAAGGTGCTATTTATAAGACCGAGTTTGTTGCAGCTCCTCAGACTGAAGTATTTTGGATGAAAGACAAAACATCTCAACAAAAAGAAACATCCAGAGGACCTGACTGAATGTTGTTAGATAATCGAGTATCATCAGCGTAACAACGAACATGTGTCCTGTGCTGTAATCAGTATTGGTCCAAACACTGAACCCTGAGGAACTCAATGGCTAACTGTTGTATAAAGAAGATTCTTTAAATTATTTTAATAGTATCCATATGTTTGATACAAATCCTTGTTAGGGATGGGCAGTGATTTTCAAACCTGAAGTTTCACCATGAAGGAAGCATCTGATTGTCTTCTTCGTGTCACTTTTTAAAACTTTCCCAGCCCTTTACTGCATTCAGTTGAACTGGCCGTGCAGGGTGTCCAGCCGCGGCAGCCTTTAACTTGTAGTCCTGTGTTAACGTCTGGTGGCTCCTGAACTCACTGCTGTTGTCAAATGTCAGACTTTGTCTCCACAGTGTCTCCACTGCTGACTCTCTGCGCTCTGGTCTTTGTCAGGTCATGGAGAATGCCACTGTGGCGAGTGTAAATGCCACGCTGGGTATATTGGAGACAACTGCTACTGCTCCACAGAGACGTCCTTCTGCGTTTCTGAAGATGGGAGGATGTGCGGCGGACGAGGAGACTGTGTGTGCGGACGCTGTCAGTGCACGGTGCCGGGAGCTTTTGGAGACACCTGTGAAAAATGTCCCACCTGCCCCGATGCCTGTGGTACTAAAAGGTAACGGCCCCGCCTACAAACCAGCTGCTTGTACAAAACTCAGCTGTAGTCTCATGTTTTCATAAGACTGGAGGAGACACAGGGAGTTTGAAGTAAACCCACTGCTGTAATTCATCTGAGCTGCCAAGGCAGGCTCAGGGATTAGCCAGCGTGCGTGCGTGCGTGCACGAGGCAATGAGGAAGTTTTCACTTCTGAGTTATTTTCAAATTCTTTGTCTCAAAAGCTTCAAAATGATCCGTAATTTGTTGGAATCAGGCAGTGTCTCTCCTGACGAGCAAGTGTCTGCAGTATTGTGGACTCTGTGCCGGTACGTTGTGGTGAAGAGGGAGCTGAGCTGTAAGACAAAGCTCTCTGTTCACCGGTCGGTCTACGTTCCTCCCCTCACCTCTGGTCATGAACTCTGGTAGAGACTGAAAGAATGAGATCGTGGATCCAGGAGGTTGAAATGAGTTTCCTCTGCAGGAGCTGGACTCTCCCTCAGAGACAGGGGGAGAAGTTCAGTTATCAGGAGAGACTCAGAGTAGAACCACTGCTCCTCCACATCCAGAGGAGCCAGTTGAGGAGGTTCATCTGGTAAGGATGCTCCCTGGGTGCCTCCCTAGGGAGGTGCTTCAGACTTGTTCAACTGGGAGGAGACCCCAGGGAAGACCCAGGACACGCTGGAGAGACTGTCTCTCAGTTGACCTGGGAACACCTTGGAGTCCTCCCAGAAGAGCTGGAAGAGGCTGTGGAGAGAGATGTCTGGACCTCCCTGCTCAAGATGTTGCCCCTGAGACCCGAGTCCAGAACAAGAGGAAGATGATGGACAGACAAGAATACCTCTTGTTTGTTTTACAGTCTTTTAATGTGGAATGCAACATTTCTTTATTTTAGGGGACTTTGTTGTAAAACTCCTTTTCTTTTTATTTATTCAAGTTAAAAATGTAAGGGATCTGATTTGTAATGGATCTCATCTGACCTCTGTAAACATTTCCAGTATTTTACTGTAGAAAAACACGTGTAGACATTTTGCATTTCCTGGATTCTAAATAAATGAGGCAGAATAATTGTAGCTGAACTTTGTCTCCTGCAGGGAGTGCATCGAGTGTCGGCTGTTCGATTCAGGGAGACTCGCAGACAACCAGACCTGCCAGCGCCTGTGCAAGGATGAGATCATCGTTGTGGAGACCCTCGGTGGGCCAACTAACACACGTCTGTCCCTACAGGGCTGTGCTCTGACTTCCTGTCATTTCTGAAGATGAATCCTGACTAATCTAAGCTCAGCTCACACTTTAGTCCTAGATCTAACCCCTAACCCAAAACTGGCGTTTCACTGTCTTCGGACTGGTCTTTGGTCTGTAAAGAGAGTTCTGGTACTGATAAGGTAGTAAAATAAACTAGAACATTCCTGGAGAAACTGATGGGGACTGCCACATTCAAATTTTGATTAGACGGTACTGTGTGTTGGGGTTCGCTCTGAGCTACGACTAAACCATCTGAAATGTTGACTTAATCATTTTCGTGGCTTTTTATTGTCTGATTTTATTATCATGTGCACAGGTGTTTAAAGTGCTCTATAAATAAAACTACTGTGGTTTTTCAAATTTCAGCTCAATATCTCAAATAATGAGAGTTAGTCAATTTAGTTTTCTGACGTAGCTGTAGCAGCCATCTTGAACCAAAATGGCTCAAACTGAATCAGTGTTCCGACACCTCTTCACTCTGGGTCATGTGACTTCACTGTGTCAGTTAGAGGCTGTGAACAGGTGCGTCAGAGGCTGTGAACAGGTGCGTCAGAGGCTGCAAAGAGGTGCGTCAGAGGCTGCAAAGAGGTGCATTAGAGGCTACAAAGAGGTGTGTTAAAGGCTGCGAAGAGGTGCGTTAAAGGCTGCGAAGAGGTGCGTCAGAGGCTGCGAAGAGGTGCGTCCTGTGAACAGGTGCGTCAGAGGCTGTGAAGAGGTGCATTAGAGGCTGCGAAGAGGTGCGTTAAAGGCTGCGAAGAGGTGCGTTAGAGGCTGCGAAGAGGTGCGTCCTGTGAAGAGGTGCGTCGGAGGCTG